CGGGTACAGCGGATGCAGTATACCACATTGGCAGATGTGCAGGTGAACATCTGCTTGATGTGGAAAGTCTTCTTGGGGCCTGGGATGGGGGTGAGGGAGGAGGTATGGGGGCAGGTGTAGCACTTCCTGCGGTTGCAGGGAAAAGTGCCGGGTGTGGTGGAGCTGGAGGGGAGTGTGGAGCGGACAAGGGAGTCACGGAGAGAGTTGTCCCTCCGGAAAGCAGATAAAGGTGGGGAGGGAAAGATGTCTTTGGTGGTGGGGTCGGATTGCAGATGGCGGAAGTGTCGGAGGATGATGCGTTGGATCCGGAGGTTGGTGGGGTGGTACGTGAGGACGAGGGGGATTCTTTTTTGGTTGTTATTGCGGGGACGGGGTGTGAGGGAGTGTTGGATGCAGGTCTAGCCCTGAACATTTGTAAATAAGGCATCACCATGTTCCAACTGCAAATTATGTGATTCAACGGGTTTGTAAGGAGCTCAGACACAATGGGATATCACACTGTGAGACAGCAACGTTAAGTTCAATACGGAAATAAGTTTTTCCCTCCCCACCACTGCCACTGACAGTTCCAGTAATGGTTTCAAGGCTATTGCCTCTACGTGCTGATTCACTCTTTGAGTAACATTGGTGTTTAGACTTGTTTTTTGCCAGTTCTAACTCATTCCCCTGAATCCCTTGGCAAGACTGTGTTTGGAGAGGAGGATAAAGTTACATTTTTCTGGCTGTTGAATACTGGCTCAAACTTTACAAGGTTTCTGAGGAGGCCAGGTTTCTCCAGTTCTCATTATTTACTCTGCTTGTGACAGTTCAGTCCTCTCACTGTGGCACATTCTGCAATTTCAGCCGCACGCTCCTGTTTCAATGGGTGGAAATTGACACAGCGCTCAATGTGGGGATTAACCAGAACTTAGACGCAGTGTTTAATGTGGGGATTAACCAGAAACTGGACACAGTGCTCAATGTGGAGACTAAGCAGAACTGGACACAGTGTGAGTTTAACACAAATATCAAGGCGAGGAGAGGAAAATATGAATCACCATCACCAAGAGGTGATGGGATCAGTTCTCAGAATTTGTTGGTGTGATGTGGGTTAGAATATCAGTATTTATGTAACAAAATAGCCCATACGTTCTTGCAGCGAAATGAAATAAGAGCAGAATCATGATTTTTACCTTTGAAGAAGAAAGCTTCTCCCCTGATCTGAGCCACTGCGTCAAAGTTAGTGTTACATCTGTCAGGAACATCTGGTCGAGACCTTTAAGGGAGAGATAGTCAGGTCAGAACATAGCTTTCTTCACACTCCAACCTGTAATCATGCAGAACTGCTCAATCCATCGACGTTTCACTCAAATGGAAAGTGCTGGGATTGGCCAGGATTTGTGGGGTAGGGAGTTGCTAACCCTGCAGTTTGTTCTGTAGACTCCAAGAACTGAAAAATAATCTCCAGAATGTTGTATGCACAAAATCCCCAGGAAGAAAATTTGGAGACATTGTTAAAAGGAACATTGAGGATTTCTGTGGGGTGATGCCTGACCGAAGGTTGGGACTCATCCACTCAACAGAATGAAGATTCCTTTCCATTTCTAATTGGTTGTGGGATGGTGGATATCCTGAGGATTTTGGGAGGGTGGGGGTGGTGCAGGGATGGACGTGGCCATCTCTGGTTAGGGGCAATGCCCTGTATTTCTATTTGCTTTTCAGGTTCCCGATTCACTAGCTAGCGAGTGAATACCAGCAGTGACAGGGTGAGGCCCTTCACCAAGTGCTGATTTCCCACTTAACAGCTCGAGGTCACTTTGGTCAGGAAGATTGTCCATAAGCTTTCTCACTCGTGATCTAACTGGGCAGGAGCAGAGAGGCAGTGGGATTTCTGACCACACCCCTGCCCTGTTCATACTTCAGAATGACCCAACCGGATCAGTCACTGATCCTGAAACATGACCCTGATCGCACTCACCTTGACTGTTGCACCATGTGGCTTCATGGCTCTCACCAAGTGAACAGTTAACCATGTTTTACTCACTCAGTCTCAATCAACACACAGTGATCAAAGGCAGTTTTTATAAATAGCTATTTGATAGCACCTTCCAACCTCAGAACCACTTCCATCTAGAAGGACAAGGGCAGCAGATACATGGGAACACCACCCCCTGCAAGTTCCCCTCCAAACCACTCACCATCCTGAGTTGGAAATATATCGCTGTTGCTTAGTCAGAGTCAGGCAGCATCCATGGAGAGAGAAATCAAGCTAACATTTCGAGTCTAGCTGACTCTGATGAAGAATCAACAATGGTTTCGTAATCATCATTTTTTAAATTGATTTCAAATTCCACCATCTACCATGGCAGGTATTTGAACCCAAGTCCCCAGAACATTGTCTGTGTCCCTGGATTAACAGTCCAGTGATAATACCATTGGGACGTCACCTCCCAAGGTGAAGACATTGCTCCTCATCTCTGTATTCTTGCAAATTGTCTGGATGAGTGCAAGATGAAAAAGATGGTTTCTCAGAGTGTAAAGTTGGACTCAGACATTTCTTGCTTTGTATTAAATTTGGCTGCAGGACTCAGGTGTGGGGGAATGGTTGGAGGGGTGGAAGACGGCAGGTGAAAATGACGGTCTGAACAATCAGTACTCACTGAGCAGTTGGCCGCTGGTCTGCTGGTTCTGGGAGCTCTGGGTGCCAGGATGAATTTTCCAGTTGGACTTGGTTGGTGGGGAGCAGCAGATCTCTGAGACCTCGACATGGACAGAAAGACAGAAGACACATCATTTCAAATAAGCAAAACAGACAAGCAGTATCCTGACTAAACCTGATTAACCAAAGAGCAAATGAAATTTGATAGTGCACTTATGTAAAATCTCTCCAAACAGGCTTTAATTTTATCCCCTCGGTTAATGTGAACGGTTCAGAGCAGTCTGGAACTGCAGAAAGCTGTAAATGCAAACTTTCAGTCTCATTGTCAAGGCTGTTGGTTTCTCATCATCCAGATCTAAGTACCCTTCTGCACTCCGCATATGTATTAAATCACAGGATGACATTTCTAATTAGCAACGTTCTTTCCAGTTCACTGACTATCCCATTTATTCTTTAATGCCCAGGGTTCTGCTACAACTTTCATTACCAGCTCAGAGTGAGGCAACAGAGAGCAACTGGAAGAAAAACTCTCTTCTGAGGGCTGAATGACCTCAGAATAATCGAACATGTGTCTTCTCTCATTCTTTGGAATGTACTTCAAACTTTTGTGAAGACTTCATCTGATTTGATAGTATTTGAGACTGCTATCAGTTCAAGTCCCACTGGAGGGACTCCAGCACTCCCTCAGCACTGACCCTCCGACGGTGCGGCTCTCCCTCAGCACTGACAGTCCGACAGTGTGCCGCTCCCTCAGCACTGACCCTCCGACAGTGTGGCGCTCCCTCAGCACTGACCCTCCGACGGTGCGGCGCTCCCTCAGCACTGACCCTCCGACGGTGCGGCGCTCCCTCAGCACTGACCCTCCGACAGTGCGGTACTCCCTCAGCACTGAACCTCCGACAGTGCGGCGCTCCCTCAGCACTGACCCTCCGACAGTGCTGCGCTCCCTCAGCACTGACCCTGTGACAGTGCGGCGCTCCCTCAGCACTGACCCTCCGACAGTGCGGCGCTCCCTCAACACTGACACTCCAACAGTGCTGCACTCCCTCAGCACTGACCCTCCGACAGTGCGGCGCTCCCTCAGCACTGACCCTCCGACAGTGCGGCGCTCCCTCAACACTGACGCTCCAACAGTGCTGCACTCCCTCAGCACTGACCCTCCGACAGTGCGGCGCTC